TAACCTTGCACTAACCCTAAAGACACAATCAGTACCAGACAGCACAGCACAGCATAGAAGAGGAGTATTTCGCTTGAAAGGGACCTCGGACGATCACCCAGTCCCACTGCTGGACCAGTTCAGGGCTGACCAAAAGCTAAAGCATGTTGATAAGGACATTGTCCAATCCTCTTCAACACTGCCAGGCCTGGGGCACCGACCGCCTCTCCAGGAAGCCTGCCCCAGGGTTTGACCACCCTCTCAGTAAAGGCACTCTTCCTCCTGGCCACTCTGAGCCTCCCTGGCCGCAGCTGGATACAGGGAGCAGAGCTCAGACCTCTGCTCCACATCCCCTCAGGAAGCTGGAGAGAGCAAGGAGGTCTCCCCTCAGCCTCCTTTTCTCTGCACTAGGCCAACCCAAAGTCCTCAGTCACTCTCACAGGACTTGGCTTCCAGCCCCCTCACCAGCTCTGTTGCCCTCCCCGGACACATTCAGGGACCTTCTCGTCCTTCTGACATTGCGGGGCCCAGACCTGCACTCAGCACTCAAGGTGAGGCTGCCCCGAGGCTGAACGCAGCAGGCAATCACCTCTGTGAATCATGGTCCCAGAAGCTGGGCAGGGTGGATAAATAAGAAAGAAAAAAAGAGCCAAAAGCACCTTCAAACAAAAAAGCAACACCAAAATAACCCCACCCCAAACCAAACAAACAAAACGGAAGCCAACTGTGGAATTTGAGAAAACACAGATCAGGGAGAGGCATGACAAATGTCACATCTGCTTGCTCTGCAAGAGAGGGACCCTGTCGTACGGAGAAGACCCTAACGGGCACTGGGGCTATTTTCTGGTATAACTCGCTCACCTCTGCGCTCTCTTCATAAACTGCATTCCTCTAGTACTCCACCCACAGAAAAAGCATCAGGATCAGCTTCAGGGAGGTTCTATAGACAAACTGCCAGACTAACAAGAAATGAAGCAGAGATATTTATTATAAGGCTATTTTACTGCAAATACAACTAATTTCACTATGGCAATATACAATATAAAAGTAGTGTGCCATGCTCAGTCTGAACTATAAAAGCTATTTTCCTCCTGGGTCAGCTGATATAAAGTCTTGATATATCGTTTAGTGGGAGCAAGATCCATTCCTTTTCCCTTAAAGAGCTATTACCTCCTAACAAAATCTCCTCTTACCCATTTAACAGGGCCATTATATCCCTGTGAACACGAATTCATCTGCAAGCACAAAGTCTTTGTGACACACATAATTACTCTAAGTCAAAGCCTGGGCTTACATTCCCTTGGCTCTGATGATGACTTAGTCTGTGACCTGAGGCAAATCACTGAATATCTGTTCAGGCATCCCTAAAAGTGGTACAAACAACTTCCTTGTAACAGATATTGGGAAGCTTTATCAAACATGTAGGCTACTTTAAAAGACAAAATGATTGCTACAGGCTTGCTCTTGATAGCAAATCTGCTGCTGACTTCAGTAGGAACTGGAGTAGGCCTTTAAGAAGCCTACTGAAAACTACACTTGAACCATCTAACGCAGGATCTAACTGATTGCATCTAATTGCAATGGATTTGTCGGGGCTTCTGTAACTACAAGTACTGCTTGCGCAAGCACAACCCAGAAGCAGAGCCCAGATAATGGTGAGAAACGCCAGCCTTACACTCACATTCTGTCTCTGCTGGAAGGCAGTCACCAACACAGTTCCTGTCCGGTCTCTCAGATAAGCAGTGATTCCAGTTTGCCCTCCAAATGCAATCTGCTCCATTAAAAGCACACTTAAGTCCATTCAATCGGGTATGACTGAGCATAAACCAAAAAGAAGCATTACTCATCCTAACGTGAATTTAAGAACATGATTCTGGGGCACAGTAAGTGACTCTTCCAAAAAAATCCCAGAAAAAGCGACTGAGCTGCTCAAAAAGGATGCTGTCAAGTCTTGCATCAACCAACCTGCCTTTATTTTCTTATTGGGCAAATAAATAGCTTTGCAAAAAAAAATCTGCTTGAGGAGAAAATACATTCACATTTTGAACTAATCTGTCAGCTTCTAGCTCAAGGCAACAGCACTCTATTAATATTTATTTAGTAATATATGTTTAATATTTTACAAATGTTACTACAAAGCCACAGACAAGGGTAAAAATTTTAGAAGTTAAAATAATACACCAAATTAGAGATAAAAAGAGCTGAGTAGAGAAACTAACTAATCAGTCAAGAGAATAATCCTCCAGTCAAAGGCCTGTTTTCTGTGGCTTGTTACAGTTTACCAACAACGGATGCTTCAGATACAGTTTCTAATACTTGGGGATTTTCTTGCACTGACATAACAGAAATAACTAGATATTTGTGCAGATGAGGAGGTGACAAAAATAACCCCTGGGAGAGAATACTGGGATAAGTCTCCGTATTGTCAGGGTCTAATTGCAGTCCCTGCACAGTAAAAACCCCAAGTTTGGCTCACAGTGGGTTTACATCCTCTGGAACAACATTTGTAATACAAGGATATGAGACCACGCTCCACTTAGTGTGTTTAAGATAAATGGGTAGCTCAAACGATCCTAACTCTTGCTGCCGTTTCTGTAGTTGTAGGTGTTTGTGCTTACGTTACTATGCAAAAGATTTCCCAATGGAAGAACTGACTTCCAGTGCCTAAACACTGCAAACAATGGGAACAAGCTGTGTGAAATTTGCTCAGAAATTCAAGCCATGAAAAAACTTAAGGAAATTTCACTAGGTATCAGCTCCATCATGTCAGAGAATACGATATGTAACATCCTACTTCGTGGCTAGCCTGGATACCAGGACAGTTTGGCACAGAGTGCCTGCTCCTCCACCCCACGTGATAATGCGTATCACACAGCAGAATGCGAGATGAAGCTAGATTAGTTCTTAGGAAAGGGAAATGGCAATGAAGATGAAGCACAGTGAGCAATCTCGAGTCATGGCCTGGAGAGCACCATTTTAAAATGGAAACATTATTTATTGCACTAATACTATAATTATAATGTAGTTTTTGTAGAACAATTACTGCCTTTATTAAATGATTCATCGTAGGCCTCACAGTGGAGAGCAACACAAGTAATCTAGAGATGACTGTTTGGTGCTGCAGAGAGAAAAATGCCGCTCGGCAGCAGAGACAGACCATCTGGCCTGAAATCACCCGCTGACTGCAGTTTTCCACGTATCCCAACCTAAAGGAAATGCAAGGCAGCCCCCGGGAGCTGCACCGCTAGGGGCAAATGCTCAGGATGCACCTGAATGACACAGCTGATTTGAGAGCGTATTTGAAGCAGTCACCTGTATTTTGCCAAGGAACAGTGTATGGCCCCAGGTGTGAGCCAAAAGCAGGTGACTGAGGGAAGGAGCTTCCTTTGCAAGCTTAACATCTGTAGAAATAATGCTGTGCTTCCCAGCAGCTCTACTATTGCACTGTGCATTTATATTCATCCTGGTTATTATATGGGATATGCGGAGAATTGTGAGAAGAATTGGTAATAAACTGCTGAAAAGATCTGTTCATTACAGCTCAGTAATTTGTTTTGATATAGGCAGGAACACAGATCCAAGTCAGGATAAAGTTAGATGAGGCAGCATACATCATGCTACCTCGCACACTACAATCTGTTGCAGATGAAAGTATCTTATGTAGGTCAGACATTGCTTCCCTGGAGACAGACGAGAAGCCGTAAGGAAATCAGAGCAGTGCCGGGCCTTATTCCAGCGGTCCAGCCTACTCCAGAGCTTCAGTTATGCAGAGATTTGTGTCTCCGGTCTTGACTCTTTCCAGTCAACTTCTGCAAGGCAAAGTCTAGCAGACTGGACAGCATCTCTCTCATGATGCAAAACTAGGTAAAACTCCTCACACGAGGAGATAATAGTTTTGTCAGCTGAGAAAGGGAAAGAAAAATCAAAGTGACACTAATTTTCAACTCATCGCAACACCGAGCTGCAAAATCTTGCTCTGGGAGCAGCAGCAGATCTCTGGTCCACACAGTGAGGAGAATTGTGTTATTAGAAGAAGCACTCCTGCACTTCTCTCAGCCCTTCCTTAAAACTGTGCTCTAACGTAACTGAGAGGAGACCTGTGCTTCAGTCTTGCTGCGGTAACGCTTTATCTCTGACAGGTGGGAGAAAAAGAATTCCAGGAACTGAGAATTAAAAATGAGTATTTTTTGTTATATCTCACAGTCTTAACACAGAATTCAATATTTTTGAAATAAACTCCTTTTTTTGCTACTGTGTAAGAGTATGCTTTTATAGTACAACTACAAAGCACAAAATACAAGCTTCCATTAACATTTCATAGCAGAGTTCAGAATTTAATTTTATAACACACATCATACCACTTTTCATTACCATCTATCTAAGAATTTCTCTTGTATCAAAAATCTGAAAGATTCTCAAACAGAACAGCACAGTATTTTCAGAAAGGTATTTAGCTGTGAGAGATACAGAAAGTAGTACACAAATCACACACAATCCTGCACATAGCGAACAGATGAAGCGTGTGAGGGAAGAAGGAACACTGCACTTACGTACTTCATGAATACCTTAACTCCCTCTAGAGAGAAGGCAGTATAAATGCCTACGTATTCCAGGTCACTCCATCATGATTTTCCTAATTCAAATAAACCAAGTAATCTAGAAAGGCTTTTCCCATGACACCTGTGAGAAACTATTCTCCTTACCGAGTCTGGGACCACAGCTAAGCAGGGAGTTTTAGGTATCGTCTGCAGAATTCCAGCATTGTTACTTGAACAAAAGAATAACACCAAGCTCCGTGTTTCTATTCCTATCCCAGGTAAGTTCTTTAATACATGATATATAAGGAGCTTTTGCTCTTTTTTCCCCCCTCTCTCCTCAAACACAACAGTCGATACTACAGCAGAGCCGTGGATCTCCTCTGCATACCATCATCCACACATGTTTGACTGTTTCTTTCCCCTGTAAAGCAGCAAGCTGTATTTTAAATGTAAGAACCAGTGTTGGCTGGCAACGTTCCTTACCCTGATTCCAAGCTCCACATTCTCTCCTCCGTATACTTCCATGCCTTCATCCAGTAAGCCAATCTCCTGGAAATATTCTCTATCTACTATGAAGCACCCGATCAATGCAGGACTTCTGAAAGAATAAACCAGCAGCAACCAAAATTGGCAGATAGAAAATGAACAATCTCATTATTCAGAAATAGATTATAATTGCTGGATCAAATGGTGTGTCAAGACAGATGCTTAGGGAGGTGTGTCGCAAACAGATTTATTCACCTTTGTCTTCTACAGTTCTTGTTTCTATGATAAATAAAGCACCACTGAAGGAAAACAGACTCAAAATTATTTGCCATATTCACTGAACAGGTAGGATTGCAGTGCTTACAATGCTGGACCCCAACTCTTCTGAGGCCCCAGCTATTCCAGCCTCTATCCCTGCTAAGGCCTCAGGTTTTTGGTCTGTGATAACTGATAAGGACACTCAGCGATGCAGTTTTGTGGGTTTAGCCGGACTAGAGGTTCATCTACAGCTAATAAAACTTGTGTCTGTGAGCTTATGTAAAAGAGTTTATTTCTTGAATAGGAACATCCAGGTGAGTTTCTATAGCACAGAATCAAGGAATGTCTGCTCTTACCACCTTACTGTCAAGTAGTCCATTGTCCTGAGCCAGACTTAAACAAGTTGCATCTCCTTACCAATCAGTGTGCTCTATTTGACCTCAATTAACCAACTTTTACTGCGCAGAGCCAATCTTAAGGTAAGAGTTCAGACACCGAGAGTACAATTTTACCTTTATGAGATGCAGTGGAAGAGAATACAAAATAATTCAGCCTTTTAATTTTTCTCCTACTTTATAATCCACAATGGCAAGAAACAAAAATGTCTTTTCTGATTATTATGCTGGTATCAAGAACTCTGTTAACAACAGGGTATTAATTAGCAGTACGGGGGAATCATCCTGCATTTACCGGGAACATTCAAGCTGCAGTAAGAGCAGACATCTGCTTTCAAACAGATAATAGGATGTCTTAATCACAAACTGTACAGTTCTACAGAAATCTATACATTTATGCCTCCAACTTAAGGTGCTATAGTACTCACTTTATAACAATGAAAGGCTGTTTCTGATATATTTATTAATGAAGAAAATAGCAGTTAACATCACTTCAAAAATTAGCTTCTTTTATGACAAAGTACTCTTGCTTTTGGTGTTGTTTTTAAAGCATTTTTCAGAGTACCTGCTTCCCTTTGTTATGATTCTAGAAGCATATTGGAGGCATGATAAAAAACATCAATCAATACACATGGCTTTTTTTTGCTTAATTATTCAGCTCACACATGCAGTGTATTGCACTGAATAAAAGGTGCCAGGGAAAGGGCTTTGGAAACAAGCATAAACATCCAATATTCTTAAAGGACATTCACTCTACAACCCTCATGGAGAACAGTTTTGGGGTAAAATGGAAAAGTACATTTACTCTTTATTTAAATTTTTGCTCTTTTCTTTAAGTTTAAATACTTCTAATTTTAAAAGTCACTGTAATTCATGTAGAAGGTTTGCCTCTCCAGGACGTAGTAGAATATTTCAAAGCATTTTCATAATGCTAGCAGGGTTCATTAACACTGATAACCATTTCTAACAATGTGGAAATTTCCTATTTTCCAGTTCTAGGTCCTGTTCCAACTATCAGCCTGTGGGCCAGCGCAGTTCAGAATGTTTAAGATGACAACTCCCTGTCAGCTGCTGCCCTGAAAAGACAGAACTACTGGATGGAAGCTACCCCTGACCCTGACTGCTCGTGCTGAAACTGCTATTTAAGGCTCTGCTTTGCAGCCGGTGAAAAGTCTTCACACTTTTTTTTCTGCAGAGAGCTAGAGTATAAGTACCAGTGACATCCTTGGTAGGAATGCATAGCTAGAAGAAAGGCCTGGGACCTCAGCAGAGCTGCTGAGGGGATGCAGAGGCACCTCGTCCCCTCCCTGAGACAAGGGTATTGTTCTGTACCAACCTAACAGTAGTCTAGACATGATAAGAAAGTACAGAGCTAGATTGCATCAAAGCAAGGATCTAACACAGTCTTTGCTCACACACTATCAGTGGACCAGCATTAACCCCTAGGACATAACACAGCTGTAAAGCTATGTGACAGTGTCATAAAGAATCCAACTGTCAGATCAGTTCTGTTTATATGATATATTTGCAAAGAAAATTTTGCTTCTGGCCCATCACCACTGAATTAGCAGACAAGACATTTGGAGAAGGCAGTGCTGCTGGACATTCGGGTCTAGCATTTCACTTCGGCGATGTGTTCTGCCACGTGCTAATAACAAGGAAACCTATTTGAAGAGATCTACTAAACCAACAGTTTTCTTGATGATGTGTAGTGTAGGGGTCAAGGACAAAAGCTGAAGACAACAGCTCAATGGCATTTAACTAGTTTACCATTTCTGTCAGTGAAACCTCCTGCATAGCTGAGACCACTCACCATCTGTCCTATCTAGATGAGCGTTTCCAGTGACACACTATTCTAGGTCACCATTGCACCTTACCTTATTGGAGCTGTTGCGTTCTCCAGTTTCCACCACGACTTAGGAGGGTTCAGGTATCGGCACCACAGCTCCCAGTCAAACCCCTGTGCTGAGAGGGGATACTCCTCTATTTCAAAATTATCATACTTGATGTTATCAAATGATGGAGAAATGACTCTTTTTCTGTTTTCTTTTATCCTAGTGAGTACTGGTTCAGCCCTAAAAAAAAGAAAAAAAAAAAAAAGTTAAGATCGTGTCAGTAGAAGCCCAGCACTGACGGAAACCACAGAATCACAGACCAGTCTGGGTTCAAAGGGACCTTTGAAGGTCATCTAGTCCAACTCTCCAAATAAATAGCAGCTTATGCTGTATATTTCAGAAGGGGCAAAGTCTACAGCTGTTACCCATTCAGAGCTCCTTTTTCTTTGAGATGGGAATTTTGACAGAACAGGATCTGCCACAAAATAACACACTGCAATATTTTATCTAGGATGCCCTATTATTAACCTTGATGTTAGCTGGTGAATGGAAGAAATGAGCATCTGCATATCATAGAGCATTTACACCCTTGCTACCAAATAATGATAACTTCAGGCTCTCAATATGATCAAGGACATCAAGATCAGAGTTAATAATAGATCTATCCTCGGGAAGCTCCTGCCTTTTTACCATCTTTTTTACTCAAGAAGCAACAGAGAGATCAAATCCACACTGAATGATTTAAAATACATCGCTTTACTTATGTGCTGCTTTTGCACAGAGCAACGACCTCAGTGCCAAAATGACATTTCTTTGTTTACACTATAGAACATAAAAGAAACATAGGATTTTTAATTAAAAGAAGATAAATTTGCCCCTATGGGCAAAGAGCTACATTATCAGGCAAGGTTTGTAATGTGCAGTTTTCCAATATAGTTTAAATACACTGTAATTAGAGCAGGAGATAACTCACACCATAAAAATTTATTTAGATTACATTACACAGCACAAACACATTTTTCATGCTCGTGTCCATGATTGTGCTGTGATTTCATTAAAAGGATCAGAACGCTAACTCACCCTGTGTATGCCAGAGAAACGCCACTCAGTAATTTATAAACACTGCTTAGAAAAGGTCCCTCAGTCAGAGAAATTCAAGAAGACACATACCATCCCACATTGAATTCCACATGAGCATCAAAGAGAGCAACTACTGGTGCTGTGGCTACTCTCCATCCACTAACTCGAGATCGAATCAGCCCCTCTTGTTTGCTGTGTCGAACCACCTTGATGAAGCCAGGCTTACGGGCATTCACTTCATCAACATACTTCTTCAGTTTCTCCTTGAGTTCTTCTGTGGAAAGGAAAGAATTAAATGTTAACAAGATGTATCGGCTCAACAAGATGTGAAAACCTGTTCTTTCAGCAAAACAGGAATCTTCACACGTGGAAATACTCCCTTCTGATTTAACTACTAAGAATTCTCAAATAGTCAAGGCTAAAAGGAGGCAAATAAAAAGCAGAAGGACCACAAATTATATAGTAATAAAAAAATCCAGGTGTAACTATTTAGCCTACATGATTGACATCAGAATCCTGCCAATGTTTAACATTAACATGCCACAAAATAAAGCATGCACTCATAAGGTACCATAGCTAGAGAAGTGCATATTATGTTTCTGCAGCAACAAACAAGGTAACTATCTTATATTTCCAGAAAAATATGTCCAAGTATTGTCCATGAACCTTCTTTACCAATATTTCAAGAAAAAAAGGTTAAGAATAAAATGAATTATTTATCCTTTCTCAATTTTTCTTTCTTAACTTCAGCAACTCTTTTCTATCTCTGCTAAAAAGTTCCATGACTTCTGCTCTTCTCTCAGCAGAATAAAGACCAGTAAAAGTACTGGAGAAGAATAATTCCTAACTAAAACCCGATAATTTTCATATCAACAGCTATCGTATCTCTGGTTTAGAGACCACTGCATGAGGAAACCCAATACGCAGAGCTGGAATATGCTGTTCCTGCTCTATGGACTGAGAGCACTGTTCACCACTGTCCCTTGTTAGCATGGCTGTGTCCTACTTATGCTGTGGTACCACTCCGAATTCCCTTGGTGTTATTAAGTTCCCTTTTTTCCAAATCTCTCCACAAGTCCAGAAATGTCTTTGCTGTGATGCAGAATAACGCTCCTGTGGTTCCGATGCTACGTGGATATCATCAAATCTGCATTGAGAGCTCAGTGCTGCCTAGCCCCTTCTGTGAAATCTTGAGCAAGCCACTTCCCCATAATCAACTCCCCATCTGCGAAATGGGATCAGCACACTTCTTTCTTCTTTTCCGTTTATTCATACGTTAAGCTCTAGAAAACAGCAGTTTTCTTTTTCTCCGCATTTGGCCAGCACCTAGCACCCCGGGGCACTGAGCCCTCCTTCAGGGAGGCTGCATCAGCCAAGGGACAGCCCAGTGCCCAGCAGAGGAAGGAGCAGCACCCACCACTGTGGGAGGGAGAACAACTTCTGTTATGTTGGCTGGCCCAGACTGCCTCCCAGTAAAATACAACAGGGTTTTCCTTTTAGCCCTAACCAGTGAGAACTTCCCTGCTAGTTTAGCTGGCATTAGCAGTGCAATCCCCTCCCAGGTACCTGCGCAGGGAATGATTCTGTGTTGAGCCCAGGCAGCTTCTCAAACTAAGCAGCCAACCGCTCTGGGAACTGGTCATCTCTATCAGATCTGAACAACAGGCACACTAGAATGGTTAATGCAACAGGAAATTAAAAGCAAGCACACTTTGTCAGCCACATTAAATACACGTTCATCCTTGGAAAGGACCTGGATGTGCCCTCTCTTAGGCTGAGAAAGGGAACAGAGCTGTGTCACAAGCAGTCCTCGCAGCTAGACTGTTACAGTGCATGTGACCTTAGTGGACCTGCTTCTCTGAGGATATGGAGGAAAGGACAAGATGGTCAAGTACGAATTGTCCTTAAATTCACCCCAGGTAGCCACCAGGAGTGATGCTCTTGGAGCTGGTCCCACTGGCATTGCAGAACTGTGCACGGCACATACTTTTGCGTAAATAAACTCTCTCATGGAAGTGATATAATGCCAAAGAAAAGCGCTGATACAGTTTTTCATAAAGAACAACAATTAAAAAGAAATGATGATCATGTCCACCGCAGTACTTAAACTGCAGCTATATTTTAGGAATGGACTCAACATATTCCTAGAATTTTCCACATTATATTATCAATATCTATTCAGATTTTTTATCTATGGCTGCAGCACCTTGAATAAACAGTAAGAGGCACTTGCATGCACAGCACAGAGCACTATTCCACTTTGTATTAGATTTGCTGCATATTGCTCAGTACAAGTTTTTTCCTTTGTAAGGTCAAAAAAACATATTCAGGTTTTCCGTCATGCTTGTGCAAAGCCACATGTTCTTTTTGTTCATCCCCTAACATCTAGAGATTTGTAGCAAGCACGAAACTATCAAATCAACCACTAGCTAACAGCACTTTGAATTCAAAAAAAGACATTTACCTTACTGAGATTGTGCCCACCTAAAAATAGTGCACACCAGTTCTCTATTCCCAAAATGTAACACTGTGGAGGTGAATATCAAAACATGAAGATCAAAGCTTTGTTCTCGGTGCAAGTGGCTGCTCATAGCTTTGCAACACTGGGAAGCTTTATTTGCCACAACAATGCAGCACCACCGGGTATAAAATCTATAAAAGGAAATCAGGCTCTAATAACGGACCTGAAAATCAGCTGCCTTGACAGAGTCATTGCTCTCAACCACCTTCGTTTTTAGCAAGTGGGCTATTCTTACTCCTGTCATAGAGTCTTCCTGAAGTGGACTGACGTCGTAAGCTCAAGGAAACAAAATCTTCTTCATAGCTAGCTGTAGTACCGAAATAGGTGGAACTGGAGCAGAACCCCAATCTTGGCTTACCACCAGCACGACTTCAGCTGCACATTACAGCTGTGACATTTACAGGCAGTACACACTTTGCTGGTTACACTGCAAATGAAGTGAATGGCCTAAGAGGGTCTCAGGGGAACCCTGAAGCCTTACCCATGGTCAGTAAGAACGGAGGAATCCTTCCCGGACTTCAGCATCAGGTGCAGGAGGCAGAGCACAGTGCTGCATTTTACCTAACCTCCAATGCCGGCCCACAAACAGCGACTTACTCTGGAGCATGCCCACAGGAGGCAAAGCAACATTTTGCAGTCAGGCATTTTCTGGCCTTTGTTATTTAAAACAGATTAGCCGTGCTCTGCAAAGGCAGAGTGCTGAGCAGAGCATTATGTGCACCCTTCGCTTGCAAAACCCACTGGGCAGACTCTCCCAGAAGAGAAGTCTACTAAAAAATGTATAATTTTCTCTCAGTCACAGGACACAGCAGACATGTAAATGAAGCTAAAAAAGTCACAATTTCGGAAAGAACACTGGAGACACCCTAGCGGGATACTTAAGTCAGGTTTTTTCATGCATTCCACATTTTCATGAGTTATCATGAGAAATGTGAGTTGTGTCACGGACAGTTTCAGAGCACCCTGCCCAACCGGACCGAATGATGGGACTCTCCCCCTAGAACTGATCATACACTTTGTGATGGCACTGGTGGTCTTCAGCAATGTATTCGTAACCCATGCTCTGTTTCTTTCAACCTCAGATATGTTGCCTGAATAATAAAGTGGTTTTCATTAATTATTGTGCTTCACTGCTTTATGCCACCATAGGGAGAAGAAAGGGAATGAGCAAATGTGCCATCTTCAATACACTGTTGATTCAGTTTCTAATTATGGAAACATGCTTATAAAGATAAATGCGTTTGCCTTTCAGGCAAACAAGGACTCAATGTGACTAAGCTGAGTATCTGCAATTGGAGAGACAGAGCAGCCATACGTGGAAGGGGAAAATGGTGCCGATCTGGCACTTGGAAATGTTGCACTCTACCACCTGCATTTATATGGTGCAGATGTCTGGAGAGCACAGCACAGCTCTCCTCAGAAATGTAGCAAACATAAATAATGTGCCATAATTATGTTTAATATTAACATAATCAAGTTCTAATACTTCTAAGAAGCTGTTGGTTTGTTTTTAACAAATCCACAAAGATTCTGTTTGTCACATTTCCCTATCCCGCATGACAAAGCAGTGCCGAAGGACTCATGCAACTCTGCCTTCTTCGGGAGGGGCAGCAGCAGAGCAGGATGAAGGCAGGGAAGGCAGGCAGCGTAAGGGTCAGAACGTGCCAGCCATCCCAGTTACAGAGACCGTATGGGAAGGGATCATTCAGTGAGTGCAAATCCCTTCAGGAGGCATCTCCCTTACAGCACTCGGTCTGAGAGAACGGTGCTTGAGAGAGGCCCTGGCAATGCAGGTGCTCTCCTTGCAACAGTGCCGCTTGCCTGGCTCCTGCGAGTGGCCAGTCCTGGCTGGGAGGGGCAACCTGGGCCACGGTCCTGCCTGCTCGTCAAATGCTGGGTGGCTGTAGCCATGCCGTATGGAAATGATTTCCCCCATATGCCCCTGGGAGATTCTCAGACAGAAAACCATCTCCAGATCATGCCCTTCATGCCGTCACATGCCTCGGCCTGCATTTCATATGCCTCTCCCTACACTGGGAGTTAGCAGGCTAGATGCTCAGTGTTGTAAGACACCTTAGCCCCTCACTCCAGCGTGCTACAGCAGCTGTGAATCTGCCCCAGACTTTCAATTTTAAAGTTACTGATACAAACAGTGTTGTCATAAATAATAAATTACTGCCTCACCTTCATAGAGAAGTAGCTTAAAGAACAGTCAATTAAGCCTCACTTTCCATAACTTTCATGCTTTAATGCACTCCCATTCTGAGTGCTTAAATGAGTCTTCACATCCCTCCAAACAATCACATTTGTAAAGTCTGACACTCATGCCTTGCTGAGACAGATGCATTTTACTGACTTTTTAAAACTCTTCTTCTTAGCTGTAAGTTTGGCCACAGAACTAAAATCATAAATAAGTAAATAAAAGTGCTCTCATAATTTTATGCATTTTCTAAAGCCTAAAAGTCCCTGCTGACTTCAGTGCAGCACGATGCACGCTGGATGTTATTGCTACCTCTGAAAGCCTTGTGTTTTTACCTTTAGGGAAAAATTTATTTCCATGTCAAAGGCCCAGGAATTACCATGTCCCTCTTCAACCTTAGCACCTGGCACAAACATGGCTCCTTTTACTGTAAGGGGAAAGAAATTATTCTTCAATACAGAATGGGGTTTGACATGACAATTGCCCTCCCTGTGCCAGAAATTGTGGATTGACACATTATAGGAAAGGTGCAAAGTCCTGCCAATTCATCATT